ACACGAGTGGCACTTTTTGATGATAATTTACAATTGAGAAAGCCTTTTGATTATGTTTTTTAAAACTTATTGAATACTCATAATATTACCTAGTGTAAAAGTGGTAAGTATTTTGACTAAAAAAATTTCCTTATTTCAACCACTACTATAATTTTCAAAATATATAATTTAAACAAATCCACACTACGACCGATCGTTACGATATACCAGGAACACACGATGCACAGCTGATATTGACATACATAAACAGAAAAGTCAAAATGCCTAATACATTTATGAAATTTATATATTTTACACCAAACGATATTTTTTGAACAAAACGTATTTTCTTTTCAACAATTTTGTCCAATAGTTAAGTATTTTAAAATTATAGGCAATACAATAAAATTGCATTTAATTGATTTCCGCATATGAATGTAGATGATATATAAAATATAAAACGATTATTTGCATAGTATCGTATAGTAACTTGAAAGGTACTATTACGAATCACGATGAATAAATGAATATTTATAGGTMCCTTGAGGGGTTTTTACTTATTATTCGTTTAAGCTGATCGTTTTAGCAAYTGGAAATCTAATGATATTGATATGGAAATTGAAATTTTGGGTTTTATTTCATTTAACCGTCACAATAATTTACGACACATATATACCATATACATTGAGCATTTTAAACGTGAAGAGATTCGAAAATCATGCCAACGCAATAATTTTACGATAAAATATTTTGTAATCTACTCATAAAAATAAACAAAAATGCATTTTAAAACATTTTAGACTCAACATTTACAATTCATTAATAATAGAAACTTAAAATAACAAAAAGTTAAAACTATTTATGCACATTAAGTTCAATTTKTATTCTCACATATGCATTAAATAAGTTTTTTTCTGTAAAAATTTAGTTATAAGCAAATATGATGATGACTCATAAAATATTTAACTTGACCATTTAAATTAAATTAAGGCAAAACATAATATTTAGATAGCTATTATACAAAACAATACAAGTTTATATTATTATAATACTGTTGGTGATAGGTCAATATTACATAACTCCCTAAATCAAACATGTTCTTTTCTATACTACTCCAGAAATGGCTAGATTTATATTAACAAGTATATGGGGTTTAACTTTTAATTTAATAAATACTATGTGTCTATAAAACGTAGCTAGGTGGTGTCATAATCTATTAGTGGACTAGTTAACTAGCCACTAATCACAACTACCTCGCCATGAAGTGCTATTACTGAATAGCTTCTTCAACCAAACCAACCACGACCTACTATATAACCCTCTATTGTGCTTACTGTAAATTTCTGTTACAGATTGTACAAATTAAAATAAATATGMAAAAAAAAAAATATGTGTCTATGATATGTTTTTACTAAACTTACTACAAAAAATACAAAATAATATGGGAAATAATCATTAATAATATTTCCTTTTTAAAATATTGCTCCAATATAGTATATAGACATCGCACATTCTGCTAMACATTCCAAGTGTTCCTAATCTAAATTTACAACAGTTAACATAATGGTGGTAAACCGTATTAATGATAAACTTATAAATATCTACTATAATGCTAATAAAGGTTTTATTGTAAGCAATTACTTATTTTGGAAATATCACAATTTTTTTTTATCAATTAACCTTCCTTAAAACTTACACAATACCCAAAGTCCTGATAAAGCTTAAATATGATGCATACTTTTTTTGAAACTTAAAATACCTACTAAAGAAAAAAAAGTTAACAAATGCATCAAAAATTATATTATATTATACTCTTTTACCTTGAGTATTATATGGTTAATATGTATGCAATTATTAAAATTAAAAAACTAAATATAAAGACATGATAAAACTTTTCCAATTACGTGGGGTTTATATCATTAACAAAATCTAACACATTATATACCATTGTTTCACGAACATTTATTCCACATCTGTAGTTTTGAACATTTCTAATAAAATTTTATCATTTTATTATATTTAATACAAAGGACAAAGACGAATATCCGCAATTTCGTTTGTAATAACATAAAACTCTTTGGACRAGGATAAAATTATTTATTTATTTAGTACTTTCWTATMAATATTAGTGCAATTAGTTCGGAAGAAAATTAAAATTTGGACATTATATTAATATGTAACCAATGTACAACTTTTTTTTTTAATTGAATAGTTATTTATCTTTAATATATATAATCTATATGTATGATCTATAATATATATTATTTGTTTTTGTTTATTTGCATTAAATATTGAATTGTTAACATATATACAGGTGTAGTTTATACAAATATTTATTGATCTATTGAAATATGACATTAAAATAAATACATAAATGATTGTCTCTGTGAGCTAGGATTTCTATTATGTTTATTGATATATTTTTTCAATAATCTGTCCAATTATTTGTAGTGAGATGCGATCAAATCCGTAATTCATTATAACTTTCAAATCAGTAACACTTTTTGTCCGTAGTTGTTAGTATCTAGTTTGTCTTTTATTTTAATGGGATAATAATGGTTTTATTCTATTCATCTTTGGAATATTTTCTTACTTCCATAATAATTATAATATGGTCAAGAAAATCTCATGAGTTATTTTTGTTTCATGCAATTTCCATATTTAATAAGTTTGATTGTAATTTTTCCTGCATATGATTACCAATTATTCACACCATTATTTGCAATCTTAATTATTATATCTTATTGATTCACCTGGTTATATTAATTTTATAGATCTGTTTTCGTGCTTAACCCCTTTTAACGCAGAATCAAACTTTTTATACTTCCTAATTTTTGTGAAGACATTATTTGCACTCTACTTTAACACTAGTCCAGTTATGTTAATATAAAACAACTTATCCATAAACTTTCTCTTTTCACTCGGTAAATGTAACATTTATATTTTTGTTGAAGACTTACTTACTTTTTGTATGCTTCTACACTCGTTCTGCGTTAAACCTTTTCATGGTTTTGATACAGAATGATTAACTCCTTATGATATTTCTCACCATGTATATTTGCATTATGTTGTTTTTCTACTTTTACAATGTATTTTTATTGTATTATATTTTTTTTATTATTTGCCTTTTAAGAAACCAATATTTAAGCTGTAACCTTGCAATTGTAAAATAATTATTGGTATTATAATTGGCTTATCTGTAGCTTAATGTATCTGATATGTTATATACAAGCATTTTGTCAATGATTAATGAAAATTTGCGGAATCGTGTTAATTTTAATAGCCACTGATATACATACACGACTCCACAAATTTAATATATATATACACGATTCCGTATAATTTTAAATGCAAMGTTGCTATACAAATATACAATTAATTACTCTTGTTATATAAATTGTAATTTTCTTTTAGCAATCAATATAGTCAAAAAAAGTTATAAAAATAAATAAAAAATTTAATATGTAAATTAAAAATAATGATGAGTTTAATAATTTTACTTCTAGTAATTTTCAATATTTTCAATTTAAAAATATTTTTTTTAGTAGAATACCTACATCTAGAGAGGTTACATTTTACATTAATTTGAAAGTGAAATGAACCTTTAAGATATTCAGTTAAATTCACTTACACAAGATTCATAATATTACTGCTTTAAAAAGCCCTTAATAAAGTGGTAACTGCTCTCCTTTCTGTATTGTGATAAATTTTATTATATTCTTAAATTCTTATTTATCCTGATCCCACTCATATCTACGAGTATTCCAGAAGCGCTGCTATCGTATAAACATATTATCATAGTAATTTTATTTTATTTTGTTTAGAATGAAAAATTTTATTACGATGACTTTCTTTTTAGTTTATTTATTTTCGAAGTGTATCATCTACATTATAAACGTAGTATTTCTTGAGATGTGAACGAATGATATTGAGTAAATTCAATATTTTACAATAAAAAAATTCCCCTAGTCTCATGTTTATTGACTAAAGTTTAGTATGTGTAAAAGCTGATTTCAATGACACAACTAGTGGTATAAAATCAAGGTTTAACCTGGTTTGAACTTATATGTGAAAGAAAATGTCTTCTTTTTATTGATCATCACCCTATTTTCATTCTGATATTTCAATTCAGTTCAATTTAATATAATGTATAAAATATGAAATATAAAACACAGAAAAATATTGATCAAATTTATTGTAATAATAGACATAAAAAAATAAAATAAAAATAAAAAAATAAAATAAATGCATTTCATATATAATATATATAACTACTACATTGCACTAACTTTAATTATTTATACTTTTAGTTGAACGCGACTGGTTAAAGTGTCAAAATAAACCTGTGTTCCAGCTATCCAAGGGGTAAGTTTGGAATTCAATTTAAGTATGATGTACCGCTCCCATTATAAACGCTACATTATAGTTTAGTGCAAAAATAAACCACAGTTTTTATGTTACACACGTTTGAAAAAAATCGAAATCCAAGACAACGTGCTTAAAGGCTAAAACTTATGCATTGGACATAAATTAAATTTGCGAATACTTCATTTGTGATGAAAAAATATGTCACACTTGTAGCTTTTAATGTACACATAGCATATGCATCGAGTTTTATTTAATTTTCACCGCCGTCAGCAAATTTGACGGGTACCTTGACGCAGGGAAAATAACCTGTATAGGTATTCAAATACCAAGTAGTTTTCTGATACGTGCCACGTACCGATAATGAATATAACTGTTACAACAAAACTGCTTGGTTACACTCAAAACATATTCAGAGAAAAGCTTGAAAACTTAACAACATTATAATACCACTTTATATTTTAACAGTTATACAATAATTTAACATTCACGTTTCGTAATAATAGTCCATAATATATTGTTATGATAATACTACATGTTTTATTTAATTAAACCTATTGAATATTATTTGAATTTATTGCGTAGCCGCATAGCGAATTGATTGTTTGGTGTTGGAATGAGATCATAAT